TCAAAGGGTTCTTCAGACTTTAATTAATCTGATGCAGTCCTGTGCATTTTGCACAAGTTTTGCATAATCTCCAATGTAGTGCAGCAAGCTGGATATATAGCAAAATACCATTACCCTGACTCTTCTGGAGAATTAAGGTCTAGGCTGCTGTAGACTACAGAGGATCTTTGATATTCAGACTATGACTTACCTTACTGTAGCTATTTCAGAAAAATGCAGTACATACCTGTTGATGTCCCACTGGCACTCTTCACTGAGAAAAAAGTAGGTTTAAGCAAAGCAAGTTGTCTAACATGAAGTTGTGAAATTTGTTTACTTCAACTGGCCTATGAATCTGCCTCCATACTTAGGGAAATATCTGAATATTTAATTTGAATTATCTTTAAATTCACCATTTTTTTCAACAGGCCTTATCTGGTCAAGGTACTCCCTGGTGATTATCCCTAAAAACTGGAGCCTGTTTGCTGTGAACTTCTTTGTTGGCTGTGCTGGTGCTTCCCAGCTTTTCCGAATATGGAGGTATGCATTAACAAGGGCACAAGTACAGCTAAGCATTAACCAGGAATTTATAAATGCTGCCAGCCTCTCTGTCAGTGCAACAGGCAAGAGGAACTGAACCATTCATGAAATGTTACAGAATGTTTTTGCTACATTGTTAGTTTCACAGTTAAATCCAGTGAAGCTGTAAATATTTTCAGTCCAGCTACAGCAGCATCGAATCTGTGTCAGTTCCAGCTGGATCAAAAAGGCTTTTAAGCAGAGCAGCATTTTTCAAAAAAATTGTTTCTTGGAGGAAATTTTAGGAGTTTTCTGGCTTCAGTACTGGCCAGAAATGTAGCAAACTTAGCTATTTTGGAACTTCCTACAAGAATTAAGATATCCTATCCCGAGTTTCCACCCTCAAGTCCATTGTAATTTTAAACCTCCTCTGGTGAACAGATTGCTAGGAAAACACTGTTATTGTAACTGATGTTCTACTCTATTCTTAGCCTGTGCTCTCTCTTTTTTATTCCTATAGGTATAATCAGGAGCTAAAAGCACAAAAGCAAATGCAATAAAGAGATGCTTAACCCAACAGGTCAAATCTAGCAACGCACAAACCCATCCCCATGGGACCTAGCTTCACTAATTTTAATGTTTTTTTCTCTGAGAAAATAAAAGAGGAAAATGAAGAAGAGCAAATGTTTTCTAAGTGCAAATAACCAAGTATCTCCACACAAATAAAGGGCAACCTTTTAAAATGAAGGCAGAATTGTTTGTCTTGTATTGTCTCTTAAAGAAACTGGCTGGATTTTGCCTAAAAAGAGTTGCTGAGCCTCACCTTATCTGACTCCACTGAACAGTGCTGGGAGTGACACAGTACTGGTGACAGCCAAAGCCTCAGACTGAAGTGATCTCTCCTGTCACAGAAAAGCACCTGGCTGGGGGTTTGCCATATTTCAATAGCAAACAGTAGTATTTGCATTTCATTTCCTGGTGCTGTTCCTTCCCTGGTAGCATAAGGATATTTGTTCCAGCTTCAGCTGCGTGCGTCTTCATTTGTTTCCCAGCCACCACTGCCCTGAAAAAAGAGACAGCAAACAAATGTGCCACTGGTGTTTTAGCTTCCTTCACAACTCCAGGCAGAAGATGGGGGTGTTGAAGACTTAGAGTCAGGAATTCACACGCAGGGGAAAAGATGACTGAGGCAAGGTAGGTTCTGATGAGTCTGTCAGCTCCCCTTTTTTCAAAGGCTGTGCCACCATGAAGTCAGTTCTCTGCTCTGCCACAGTTCCACTGGCATGTCTTGGTCCTTGTGGCTTGGTCCTTGGTCCCAGGGTCTCCAGTGGCAAGTTCTGCAGCTGTGTTGGCCACCAAGTGGACACAGTGACTGAAGAAGAATACTGCTAGGAAGAGAGGTGGTGTATTCCAGTCCCCCTCCCTTCCCAATCCCCAGCCAGGTAAGACTCATCCAGCAAACCAGTAATGGGAAAAAAAAAGTGTATTAAAATATTCACAAGATTACAATAGAAAACATTAAAGTCCATTCAAGAAAAAATATCCAAGATAACTGTTTCCAGATGAGTCTGTAAAAGCAAAAGCACTAACAGTTGGTACACTGGCTCTTCATGTAATCAGGCCATGCAATGCATATCTAGCTCCCTCACACAGATTATACACCTGTCTTACAGGTGTTTGTTGTCTTGCACACCTCCAGGACAGAGGTTTATAAAAGAAAAGTACCCAGTCTATGTTTTCAATTACATTTACCACATAAGAACAGTTGGCATTGCAGGGAGACAGAAAACATTGCACAGCACACTGATCTCCAAAGGCATTGAACTTATATTTTAGAGTGCAAAAATACCTGTAAATGAAAGGGCTTATTAGCTTTAGGGCAGTGAAGAGAAGGGAAAGAGAAACCTAAAGAAGAGAATAATTGCTGAGCCTTGTTAATATGATTTTGTAGTCTCCCATATAAAATGTTACACTGCAGAGGTGTGGCCATAGCCCAGAAGTCCCACCCTCCTTCTCTCTTGGTGGTTTTATTGAGGAAGTATTTCCATCGCCTGGGATACAGTAACTTTTTGTATTTGAGGTCCTTGGCAGATACACTAATCATGTAGAATTCCAAGACAAAATTCCAATACAGAGTGAAGGTGTTCTGGTCACAAATCAAAACTCCATACCTGACCTCAGTGAATCCACTCTAAGGTGATGCAGCTTTTAAGTTGCATGCACACCTTTACTGCAGTTATGAGACAGATGGTTACCTAGACAGTTCTCACAGGTTTAAAGAGTTTAAAAACCTAATTACAGCTCTTGCCACAAACTGAAATACCACTAAAGCTTTGAGAGAAAACAAAACCCTACAGGTCTCCAGTTATAAATGACACATCAGGCAATGACTTGCAGGGACATATCTGCCCCCCTGTAAAGGCTCTTAATGCTAACATTTTGTGAACATGGTGAGCATCTTCCTCACAGAACAACTGCTGAAGTCAAAAAGGGCCATGGAAACCTGATGGACTGAGTACAGCTACCTATTTCCTTAGCTTGATACCTTATTTGTAGTCCTCTTGAAATTCATTTATGATAAACAAAACCATAAGGAATATTTCAGACTGATCCCAGTTTTGTTTGCATGATGAATAAGAGAGAATTTATTGCAAGTCTGTCATCACACAGGCCCTCCCATGTCCACTATCCAGGAGCAATGACCCCTCCTGTTTTAGTCCCTGGCTACTGCTTCAAGAGAGGTGCCTGCTCCTCCTCTGGGCTGCTGCAAGCCTGGCAAGCAGCCCTTGTTTTGAAAATAGATGATCCTAAAAAGAGCTGGCAGCAGTGCAACAACAGGACAAGGACACCACCCTTCATGTTCCTCAAAATCCAAGCTGTTCTTTTCCTCCTGCAAGGAACAGCATCAGCAAATTAAGAGAACAACAGCAGCAGAGCAATCAGAGTTAAACTTCTGGTCAGCAGAACAGCAGAACCAGACCTTGTCTGATTGAAATCTGCTTGCTCTACCCATCAAGGATGAGAAGTCCTCTGTCTCCTCAGGCTTTTCTAAGTAAGCCAACTCAGCATCAGTCCCTTTCATCAGCACAGGTTAACATATCATTAAACCATCTCAGATAACCCGAGGAACGGAAAGTTCACAAGTGTTGTCTCACAATGCCTGAAGTTCTTCTGACTTCAGCATGAGTACATTACTTAATAATTATATTGCTCACTTTTCCATTGCCAAAAAAACAATTAAAAAAAATCAACAGCCTTGGCACTGGAGTGAGATTCACAGATTTCTACCATTCCTGGGGGAAGACTTTTGTTTCTTTCCAAAAGGATGTTTAGTGTTTTTTAAAAATACTTCCAAGTTCATTGTGCCTTCATAAAGAGGACCCAAGGGAGCCTCCTCAGTGTAGGCAATATGAACATACCTGTAGCCAGACAAGAGCCATGCAAGGAGATGTCTCCTCAAGTCAGTTAAAATCAGCCAGACCAGCGTGTCTCCTAAAGTTAGCACCAGATCAGTCCTAAAGTTAGCACCAGATTCATGTGCTTCCTAAAGTTAGCACCACATCAGAATTGTGCTCAGATTTTCCAGTACATTCCAGCAGGAAAAGAAGCAAACATTAGTAGCAGACTTCAGAGGCAAGGCCAGCCCCATCTTCTCATAGCAGCAAGTTTCTGATCGCCACATTCATCACAATTCTCCTTCTTACTCAAAAATGCTGGGGGAGCAAGATGGTGATGCACAGGGATGAACATGGGCAGATCAAAATCAAGTTTCTCCATTAACCACATCCAAAGCATTAGTGTTTTATTAAGTGTAAAATAAATGTTGGGAAGTAACAGCCTGATAGATAAGGAAAGCAGCAGCAGCAGGATTCCTCCTGATCTTAATCATAATTTATACTGGGTTGGAAGGGACCCATTAGGGTCATTTGAGTCCAACTCGATCCTACAGAACCACAGAATCACACACTGGACTGGGTTGGGAAGGACCTTAAAGATCACCTGGTTCCAACCCACCCACCATGGGCAGGGAACCTTCCATCAGACCAGGTTGCTCAGACCCTCATCCAACCAGACCCTGAACACCTCCAGGGATGGGACATCCACAGCTTCTCTGGGTAATCTGTGCCAGGGCCTCACCAGCTTCTGAGTGAAGAATTTCCTCACTACAGCCACCAACATCAGCACTGCAGCAACCACAGCAGTGGATGTGATCAACAGAAGGAAGCTTGAGTGGACCAACTACCCCTGAGCATTTCTGGGGTGAGCAGGTCCCACTCTGTCAGCTTCCAGCACTGGGTACAAGCACCATAGCCCTTCATGTGGAGTACTGCTAAAAAAAACATGCTTAATCCATGATATAGAAGAAGATATTTAAAGGTCTCCTGCGAAGAAGAAATTTGTCCATTTTTCATCTTGTATGTGTTATTGCCAAAAAATAAAATGCTAAAATATTTACAGAGTTGTTAGTTAGCCACAGCTCAGTTCTCTACAAGACTTGGCAAATACCAGAAAACTGATGCTTTAAAACTGAAACATGCCCCTTTTTTGATACCAGCCAAGTCTTGGAAGAAGAATTACACAAATTCAGATATTGCAGGATTAGCAACTGACATATGGCAGAATAAATTAATCCATTATTTCCTTCTGAGCCTCAGTTTTAAGAAGCTGGTTCTGGCTTTGAGGACAATGTCCTAAGATCTACTCAGTGCATGTGTACAAAAATAAAGCTGTTGATTTCTAATAAAGGCAGCTGTTGTCAGGAAACCAGTGAAGTCTGATCCTGATGAAAGAATATAGTGTTGACATACCTAATTTTCTTGGGGAAAAAAACCCCACTGTACACAAAATAATTATTTAAATTGCACTGTCATAATTAAAGGATTATCTAAAGTGGTTGTGAAAGGCTCTGCCATGGGCCTGTAACCATTTTTCAAGTGCTTGGTGTTAAGAGTCAAATGTGGGCTTGAGTTTGTTTGGAACAGGTTGCCCAGAGATGCTGTAGAGGTCCCACCTGTGGAAATGCTCACACCTGGGCACAGTGCTGGGCAGCCTCCTCTGGCTGAGCCTGCTGGAGGAAGGCTGGATGATCTCCAGAGGCCCCTCCAACCTCAGCCATTCTGGGACTGATTCTGAAACAGACTGAACTAGGAAATGGGCAAGAATCAGAGAAAAAGGGGTTAGTTACCATAGACCAAACTGAAAACTATTTGCTGCCAAAAAACAACCCAACACAAAACAAAACCACCACATTGGGATGTACAAAACAGAAATCCTTCTTCTATATGCCACTTTGAGAAGATCTCTGCTGGAAGGCCACTTCTAGTTTTGAGCACCAGATTTCAGGATACAATGGGTCAGCAAAAGAAATCCTCATCAGCAGAGATCTTTAATAATCTAGGAGGAGTTTAACCCAGAAAAAAGAGGCTGGAGAATTGTATTCAACCACTACACTTGCAGAGATTAAGGAATTAAACTGCCCATCCGCATCTTCTGTGCAAATATTGGTCACACAAAAAAAACCACACATCAAAAAACCCAAAGAGCCCTAGATTTCCTCCAGAAGTTGTTCAGCCTCCACTACAGGCTTTTGAGAACAGATAAAGCACTTCCAAGGAGGTGACAGTGGCATAATGGAGCCATGGGAGAGAGGTATGGGAGTACTACAGCTTCCAGAGCCCTTGGAGCCCTTTTTAACACATGAAATGACAGAGCTTTGAGGAAGAAATATTTCACTGAAAGGTTCAACAGAGTCTGAGGTAACCATCTACAGCTACATCCTCCTATGCCTTTAACTCACTCTCTCCTTTGCTTTCACAGGTAAACTACCATTTCACAGAATTAGATCAACACTACCCCTGTCCCTTAAAGGACTAAGCTTGAATAGCTGGGCTCATTGAGAAGTAAACAGTTTTGTGACCCACATTACACAGGTCAGGTAGGCCTAAAGGTTTCCTTCACTCACACTGCTAAGACATACATTTCTGATAGCTAGGAGTCACAATTTGGCTTACATGACCAAGTGAGAGGGTCTAGTTTACACGAGAAGGCAGCCTGTACTGAGAATCTGACCAAGGAAAGATAAATACCCTGTATACATAAAGAATTCTGAATATAAAGAAAATGTCTTCTTTATAGTCACCTCAACAAAAGAAATTAAGCCCTAAAAGCAAAGAAAAAAAAGAATCTCCAGGTCAATCTAGGTATCTTCCAGTTTCTCCATTAATAATCAAGATAAAAATATTTTAAAATTGTGATGCGAGTTTTCGCTTTCTCTCTCGTCACACAAGATACAAAAAAAAAAAGAATATTGGCAATTTATAAGCAAAACTCTTACCGCATTTCAACATGCAACATTGGTCTCACTTCTGTACGATTAAATAGACTATTTACACACAATACATATATATCTCTCCCTCTGTATGCACATGCATTGGTCCTAGCCTAGGCATCAAAGGCCACATGTGAGAGTTCTCTGGGTCAAATCCTGCTCAAGAAATTCCAGTCTGAATGTGTGTTGTCCTTTGGATAGCTGAGGATCTCAGTTCTTCCGAATGTCGGCGTAGACCACAGACTCTGACTTGTTGATCTTGTCGCTGTGCTGTCCCCCGGAGTGATCTAACTGCGCGTAAATGACTGGGCCCTGCGGACACAAGCAACAGGCACGGTCAGGTTTGTCACAGCTGCCCACACTGCCCCTCACTGCCATGGGGGCTGCAGCCAGATGAATGCTAAAGCAACACCACGGAGCTTCAATGACTGTGCAGGGCACTGGGAAGCGGGTGGAATGAACCCTCAGCTGCATGTGAGCTCTAGTCTGCCACCTTTCTCCTCTCAGGAGCATGCCAAACAGCACCCTTGCCTCCCTCCAAACCTGCCTGCTGCCACAGAAAGCAAAATCCAGGATCCCCTGCTCTGAAAAGCAGCAATTCTCGTGTGCTATGTAGCAAAGACACGTGGCTTAGACAGATGCATGCCAGATTTAATATTGCTCTAGAGGAACTGTCCTAGAGGTTACCAGTCAACAGCAGAGTGTACTTGCCAAACTCCTGCTCAGGTCCTGTAAATCCCAGCATGGCTGTGCCACTTGGAAAAGGAAGCTGCAGCCACCCTGGGACTCAAGTCACTGCCCAAGCCAGCGATGGGGCCAAGACTTGCACAGCAGTGAGCCAGAAGTGCTAAAATGGCGCAGCAGTACAGAATTCTTACCTGACCTCCGAGCCAGCCCAGGCAGCAGCAGCTCACAGACACCTTGGGCAGCCATGGCCTCACACCCTGTGACATTTGCTGGGGTGCAGGGGAAGACATTACAGCCCTGTCTTTCAGCTGAACGTGTGAACACTTCCTTAAACACCACATGCTCTAAAACATAGCCCAGGGAAAGCCAACTGCAGCTACTGAGGCCAGGACTGCAACCTCCATGGAGCAGAGCTCCAGCAAGACAGGTGGGACCTTGATGTCAAGGGAGCTGCAGCTCCCACGCTGAACCCTCCAGCTGAGACAAGCACAGGGCTGCCACCACACAGCCCATGCAGGAGGCAAAGGGACTGTGTTATCTCAGGATGGCTGGGGGGGAATTGAAAATACAGAGCTTTTAGCTGAGTTGTGGCTTTTTCAGCAGTTTTTCCTTCAAAACCTTTCATCCATTTAAGTGTTCTGGTGTCCCTTATGTCCCAGGAAGAAGTAGCCTTCACTGGCACTCCTCTACTCCCTTCTTGCCAGTACTTTTGGAATCCTGACAAATTACAAAACATTTGTATAGACCTGACAAAAATTTTTCCATCTATTTTCCAAAGCAATTATGAGCCAGAGATGAAAACAGACCTTCTGTACAGAAAGTTAAGCTATTGAAAGACCACAGATAACTTCCTGCACAACTGTTTTCCCCCCAGTACAGTGGCAAGGCTCATACCTGATAAATACCTTGTTCTCTTTTAAGAAGTGATTTAAATCCACATTTTATTCCTTCTGGGTAAAGTATTTCCAAAGTAATAAAGAACAGAGGAAGAAGATTGACTGAAGGGTGAAAACTTGCAAGTAGGTATAAAACCCTGAATATAAACAACACACTGAGAAAATGAAAAAAAAAGACACTGATGTCCTAGAAAACCCTGGATTTCAAATCTCATTATAGCCACTTGTTAAAAAAACTTCTCTGCTATTTGCTTTCATGTTGGTCTGGTCTCCAACACTGTATTGAGATTAATAATTCCAATCAGATCACAGTGTCTATATAAATTTCAAGACAAAGAAACTCTGAAGTTTAATTGCAAGCAGTTTTGGAAATCTCATCTGCCTGAGGCCAGAGGTCAAGGGTATGATAAATTCAGCTTGAGAGCATTATCAGCTAAAAAAATTATAAAAATAATAAATCTATCTGCAGGAAGTACTCACTGTGACATTCCAAATTTTGTTCAAGTAACTCTGATGGGTCAATTGTCTACCAGTGGAGTTCACTCAGTATCAGTTAGCATTGTACTGGATTTTTGCCAGTTTAAATATAGTCACTGTGCTGCCAGCAGCATGTTAGTGCTGTGGAGAGACTGACTGCTGTGATCAGCTGATCCAAACCCAGCTATCATTGTCTCAATTTGTTCACTGTCAGTCAACTAAAAAAAGTGGTGGATAACCAACATAGAGAAAAGGAGGGACCAAGGATTTATTGCAGTGTTCATCTATTTGATTCACTGCCAATTGATTCTCTAGCTGACTATAAGCATCACCCGGGCCATTTTAAAAACTGTCTAAACAATTCAGAACTTTCATCTAATCCCAAGTAAGCTCATCCTGACTCTTCAGAACCAGAAGACAGATCAGCACTGCTATATAAACCCAGCATTTCCTGAAGCCTTGCAATTTTTCCATTCAGAATTGAAGGGAAAAAGAGCAGCAGGTGTACCTGCTAAGGGCTTGACAGCAGTCATTAATTGTAAGTTACAAAAAAGAAAAAGGAATTACAAAGTTAGACCACCATGGTCCAACAGCAGTCTACAGAATATTCAAATTTCTCAGATTCTGAATGATGTTGCAACTACAGATTCAGGCTCTGGGAAAGTTATCTGAAATTTCAATCAAGATTCTTGGCATTACAAACTGCTCCTTCTCAGGGTCCTGGGATCCAAACAAGGACATCCATGTGGGAAATCCATGTAGTTCTTGCTTTCACTGTAAATCATTTCTTACCCACACAAATAACAGTCCTGGTAGAACAGCAGTCACTAGAGAATGATGGCAGGGACAAGAATCACCACAGAGAAATCTGACAGGACAGAACAAACCTGCTGAGAAGGAGGGCACAGTGAAAACAAGCAGAGCTGATTCAAGCATCTGAACACTCACAGAATCAGATATGCAAACTCCAGAAAGCAAGGTACACACCTAAGTAACTTGCACTCAAAACAAAGAAGTGCAGGCTCAGTGCACTTTCAGCAGAGATGTAATGCAGAAAAATACTCAATCACTGATTCTTGAACTGATACATAAATTAAAAAATGAATAAACTTCATTTAATTCATTTAAATGCCACTCTAAGAGCAAACACCTCTGCTACTGTTTCTAACTTGCACAGGTAGCTTTGTTTGTATTCACAGTTCTTTTCCACCAGTGAAGTAAAAAGCATTCATTCACTTCCTACACATCCTACCTTGTAAAAAAGCTCCAAGGAAGACCACAGGCCTCTGCTGTTTGACCACAGCACTGACTGTGGGAGCCACTGGTCTAAAACTGCCAGGCATTCCAAGAGACAAGAGTGTGCCTGAATCAGCAAACAGCCTGCAACAGCTCTGGGAACTGCTAGGAATGAGTAGCTGCCTTTCACCTCAAAAGCTTGAATACTACAACTCATTTCTTGATTACCAAGAAACACTTGTATGTGATAAAAGATTTCAAATATGTTGATTTGCATGCTGATAGGACCCTTAAAGAAACAACCAAACAATGGCTAGAAGCTAACAATTTAAGTGCCATCAAATGAAATTTAGCTTCCCCACCTCACTTATTTAAATATTCTGTTCAAAATCTGATCTACCCTGATTTCACTGTGGATCTTTTTAAAGAAAAGGAAATATGTTTAGTTGTTCTGTAAAGATGGGGCAAATGCTCAACAGGAGGTAGAGGAACTACTTGCTGCTACAAATGTCTGCCACAAAAAGAAACTCTGTTTGCCTGACAAAAGAGATTAAAATACTAAAAACTAAACTAAAACTGAATGAAACAACCATTTGCAGTATTTTCCAGGTGAGGTCAGCATGCTCACACTTTGTGTTTTCCTTTAGGAACTTACCTGCAGGGAGAACTCTGTCAATGAAGAAACAGACTGCAGTGACTACAGAAGGGCAAAAGCACCCTGACTCTGAGTTAACAATACAAAGTTGAGATTTACTCTGCTGCTCCTTCCAGCACACTGAGACTCAGAACCCTGGGGACACGGAAAGGTGAGGACACTGCAAGTTTTCCCACCAAACATTGGAGTGTTTTTGCTTTGAGGATGCAAGCACAGAACAGCATCTGTGTGTAGCTCTCAGGGCACTTGCAAGTACTCCTTCATGCCATGACAATAATCAGCTTAAACTTTGGGGGTTTCTGACCTATGAATGTTGACTCCAACAGCTACTGTATCATAAATCTCAGTGTGCTGGTTTTGCAAAATTTTCTTTTGAAGGGGAGATGGTGGGAATTATTTGTCTCACTCACCCATTCCAGAAGCATCTCCCATGATCTAGAAAAGACAACTTTTATCCAGGCCTTATAGGCAGCGTGCTGTTACAAGACCTAGTCCAATCAAAATCTGACTATTTTTAAATCCTGATTCTATAGCCTCTGTGAATAACTGATCTCTGAAGGCAGAAGGCAGCTTTGTGGGTCTGTGTGCTGAAACTTTGGAAATACTGCACGGCCCTGAACAAAATGCATTTCAAAACCAAACCAGAAGCCCAGCAGAGTAGGAGCTTAGACTTTACTGAGCTGACTCTTAGCACATTTATTTTTTCCTGTATTGCTAATACATTAACACACATCTCCATGATTGTGTCAGGAGAAATTAACAAACCAGGTATTGGCTTCCACACACTACACTGCTGCCACTTGCTAAAAAGGGGTTAATTAAGAAAAAGTCCATTTTGAACTTAAACTCTCTCAGGACCTGTATCTACACAAGAAAATTGCTAGGAACACTCAAATCGAGGGAAGAAACTGCTTCCAAATAAGGAAATCCTGTACTACTAACAGGTAATGAATGATCCATTGCATAGAATCCCTGCCTGACTCATGCTCTGTCCCCTCCCATGGGATGGATGCTAAGTCTGGATAAAAGCCACTTTTTCCCTTCAAAGTCAGCAGAACTTTTGCCAGACGCAGCAAGCACAAAGACTGGCACTTTCAAGCCCACAAAAGTTGAGAGGCTCAGCAGAGAGCTCTGAGCAGCACAAAACATCTGCAAGCTGGTCAGCACTTAGCTCCTCCCCTTGTGAAGGAAGTACGTGCCATGGAGCATGAGAGTGCAAGGCAAATTCCTCCCCATTACCATCCCAGAACAGACTAGGCAGCTCTAAGGGGTGATCCATACCTGACAGACATTGACTGTGTCTGTGTTAAACAGATACTCACTGACCACTCCCCATCCTTGCACTTCACTACCACCTGTGTATGTGAATGCACAAGATCACAACTGTGGCTATGATATTTTCTGAAAAATCTTTTCCTTAGGATTTTTTCTCCTGAGAGGCCTCAGGAACAAAATGCAAACATGGATTATCTGCTGCTGTGGAATGCAACAGGTGCATCTGTGATTGGTATCATAGAATTGTTTCTAATTAATGGCCAATCACAGTCAGCTGGCTCAGAATCTGTCTGAGACAGAAGCTTTTGTTATCATTGCTTCTTTTTCTACTCTTAGCTGGCCTGCTGATGAGATCCTTTCTTCTATTCTTTTAGTATAGTTTTAATATAATATATATAATAAAATAATAAATCAGCCTTCTGAAACAGAGTCAGATCCTCATCTCTTCCCTTATCCTCGGGCCCCTATGAACACTGTCACACACAACCGTGGCTTTTTATAATTTAGTATGAAAAGTGCATAAACCTCCATCTCAGCTAATACAGAGATGCTGCTCTTTGAACTGCACCAAGCCTTCTAGAGCAGAGCTCACCAGCCCCAGCTTCCTGCACATCCCTTGTGCAGCACACACACTTTCACCAGCAGACAGCCCTTAAAGCACGAACCCCACCCTGCCTGGATGCTCTCCACAGCAGCTGGCCCAGGCTGGGGGATTCCTGCCTGGGGAGCAGCAGGAGCAGTTACCTGGTGTGATCGGGCGGGCACGCTGTTTACCAGGCCCTCTGTGTCGGAGGGCGCCTTCTGCGGAGCTTGCTTAACCGGAGACATCAAGCTCTCAGAGGTACTGCAGCTGACGAGGTGGCAGAGCAGAGTTTGCACGACAATGTTCAAGAGGCACACGAGAAACAAAACAAAACAAAAAAGAACAAAACAAAAAAAGAAAGAAAAAAAAAAAAGAAACAAAAACAAAAGACGAATGATGGCAAGATGAAATGTGGCAGGTTACGCCAAAGTAAAAAAAATGAACATAATGGACTCTGAAATAAACACACGCAATTCTCCATCTCTCCCGAGACACTTCTCTGTCCTTCCTCTGAGCTTCACTGGGAGGAGCAGCTATTAACATAGGACAGCAGCTCCTCCACAACCCCTGGTCCTTAGATACTCTCATTCAACTCAGCCTCTCTAAAATCATGTGTTTTCTTCTCAGTTACCAGTGGTAAACAGCAATTATCTTCTACCTAGAAGCTAAACAGTCATCGAGGCAAGTGTTGTACCAGTGCTAGTTAGAGCCAACACTTGCAAGAGCCACCAGCTCTCTCTATACAAGCAAGGTACTTCCTGCCCAACTCTGCATCAGTTCCCTTGCTTTTATAGCTAGGCTGTGAGCCAGAATAATTCTCCCAGCAGACACCAGTCTGTGGAGCAACTACCTTAAGTCACACAGGACATTTATGCTGTGTGCCCTCATATAGCTACTTGAGTATCTAATCAGGCAAATCATGGTTTTCAAACAAAAGAATGGTCTTGTGGTGGGAACCAACACCCCTAAAAGAAGGCTGCTTGTTTTCATCCTCTGATTGCTTCTTTTCATCTGCTTAAAGCAGGACTGAAAAGAAAACAAGCCTGTGATAGAAAAATGAATACCACAGAGCAAATGCCCTTAAAAATGGTGACTTCTGGGCAATGCAGAGATGGGTCTCTCAGTGCTAGGTCTTTCCCTGTACCAAAGCACCCAGCAGAGTTCAGCAGCCTCCTCCTTGGCAGCAGTCACAGGAGTGCCCCCTGCTACATACAACCCTCCTAACCACTGGGCATCCTTTTTTCTCAGTCTTTGTAGACAGTGTATAAATTGAGTACAGAAACAAACGAGGACAGTGACATTAAGCAGATCACCTCCTCACAGGGCAAGCATTTTTTACCCTTTGGTAGGTCTTACCATAGCAGATTTAGCTCCTCGTACATGCAGCAATTAGAAATAAGATACTACCCCAGCCATCATGGCAAGGGGTCATGACTGTCTCAGAAACAATGCATCCCTTCTGTTACCAAAATCATGTCATCATTAATTGCTTTATTCACAAAACTCCTCAGATCTACACTGTCTAAATGTTATCATTCAGGTTTAAGCAACTAATCTACTTAGATTCCTGCAAGTTTTCCAATATCCAAGCTGTCTGAGCCAGAGGAATGCTTACAGGGATTTTACTTTTATTTTGACACAGAAAGAGCTCTGAATTTCCTATGTTTTAGTGAGTGCACTGGCAAATTCACTGCTGGAAGAGATGGAGGGACATCACCTGGGATAAACAACAACTCCACCCCAGTCAGACACAAGACAATGAAACCCAAGCACCCAGTGAAATGCATCATCCCTTTGCCAACAGATTCCAGCACAAATTACAGTGATGTTAGTAGAGAGCTAGCTGGTTAGTCAGCAAAGGAAGGGGAAATGTGTACACACACACAGGTATTAACAGCAACCACCAACTTGATTAGTTACCATGGTGTCTAGTGGGACTGGAAGAGAAGACCCAGCCCTGTTACATTCCCAATCTGGCGTCTATATCAGGATCTCTGTAAGGAGAGGAAGGTAAGCAGGATCCGATCCCAGCACACCAGGGCAGAAAGAAAACAAAACAGAACAAAAAAACACCCAAGTCAGAGCATGAATGGAAACTGTGGCCATGCAGGGGTTCCAGATGCCACGCAGGGCCCCAGCCCACCTCAGTTCAAGGCAGAATGGTTATCTAGGAGTAAGTGCTTCTCTCCACCACCACACACCGGGTTAGCATCATGTGGAAGACAGTCCGTAAGTTTGGAGGGGGTCACAGCACACTTGGTTTCTTTCTACACATCATGCAGAGCTGGCATGGTCAGTGAAAGCAGGATTTAAACCTCAGAGATTGCTTTCCCAAGAGAGTAGTTTAATCTGCTACAAGAAATCACAGTGCATCAACTACTGCTCCAGGCTCAGCACCAAGATGTGTCCTCCAGCAGGAAGACACTGGAGAGCAGGTCAGTGGGAAGCAGGGCAAGCAGGCCACCTCAGGCACACTGCTGGGGCATGACACTGCAGGGTTCTGTCCAGTTCTTAGGGGAAGGACACATGCAGAAAGGGAAAACCAGGCTTTCCACACAACTCTGAGCACACACAGCCACCCTTGCTGTATTTAGCCTTACCATTGGGCAATAGCCAACTCACTTTGTCTAAGCTCTCCAACTGGGAAAAGGACAGGGCAAAGTTTAATTTGGAAATCCCCACAAGCTTATTTTTGGAGTTATTTTCTTTTATCCCACAGGCAACCCAAAGAACCTGCAATAAGCAGGAATATTTGTTGGGCAAAGAACAGAAGAAACTTGTATGTTTTAGGGTTGTTTCTAAGACTACATACATAATTTTCATTCTTTCTTAGAGAAGCAAATTACCAGCTAATTAGAGAGGAGAAAAAAGGAAGCACCTCCTCCACCAGCAGCAAGTTTCATCACCACAGGACTCTCATCTGCCTTTGTCAGTTCTTGTTGCTTTTTCATATGCCCACTCAAAGAACTGTGCTTCACTTTGGGTTTATTCTCCTAACACTAAAAACCCTGCAGGGATAGTAACAGTTAACAAAAAACAAACAGTGAATGAGAATGGATGCAGAGTGGCTACTCCTTCCTTACTTTCAAGTGTGGTGATGAAGGAGGTTTTGGCAAGTATTTTGGTCCAGGCTTAGGAGGCAGACATTGGTAACACAAAAATCCAGTCCTAATCTCAACACACAGCACTCCTTAAAAGTGCATGTGTGGTGCTTTTCCTTTGGAGGCGTAAGGAGAGCTGGAGGGAACAGATCAGAGCTAGAGTGTCTTGGATTAAATGCTCTGAGGGCATGTATCCTTGTGTCTGGGGATCAGCTCCAACACCTAGTGATGTTCAGGTGCAACTCATGGTCAGTAGGTGTCTTCAAGCTCAGTACAGAGGTAACCACTAAATGCAGATGATCACAGTTCCACATGACCATAGCTATCTCTAGCTGTGATTACCAAGGCTTGGCTGAAACAACTCCTACCCCCCTTTAAGCCCTCCCTCTGAGCCTGCTGCTGTTCCTCACATCAGCCAGGGGTGAGGAGGGAGATCTCTTACCCAGAGTATCGTTTTTTAGAGTTGTTCTTTCTGATGACAAGACACACGACAATAGAGATGAGCGATGAGAGCCCTGTAACCGTACCGATGGCTATCCCCGCCACGGTGGCAATGGGGAACGCAGGCAGGCTGTCTGCGGAGAGAAGGGAGAAAACATTCAACTCTTCTGCATCCCTGCTCAACACAACTGCAAAGCACAAATGCCCCTGAGCCTGGGTTCATCTGGAGCAGGAGGCACTAATGTAATACCCAGAAATTCCAGCATGCAGCCTGAGTGGCAGTGGCAGCAGGCAGCCAGCAGAGTAACATCAACAGAGCACACACCAGGAGTGTTCTTAGTGTCACCATCCTTCAGGAGAGAGTTCATGTTGAACCAAAAATTTTTACATGTCAGGGAATACAAGTGACAATGAGGACAACCCTGTCTCATATTTTATCTGATGGGGAAAAAAAACCAGGTTACAGCCATCTGGCAATTCCCAGCAAGGTCAACAGGAAGAGGCAGGCACGCTTGAAAGCAGATTGGGACACAGCACATGGCTAACCCACCAGGGCTGCTGAATGCTGGGTGTTCTCCAGGGAGCATGCAGCACACAGCACAGCTCCCACCCAGCATCACCCTTAGCAGTGTTTATACATGACTCTGGTGTCTCAAAACACAGCCCTGTACATTTTTATAGACTCACTTTTTAACCTTCTTAAGTCAGGATCATTGTACAATACCAGGAAAACATGTAGAAGAACACAGTGTTGCTTTACTCACGTTTTCCCTAATATTATTTTGGGGGAGAGTAGGCCAAAAAAGAGCAGCCAGAAACAAAAGCCAATCACAGAATGAGTACAAAATACCTACAAGTCAAAGAATACACAGACTACCATTACAAATGAGAAACAAAGTCCTTTCCTTCCCCCCACATCATGGTTAACACAAGGAACATCTCAGGCCAGATGGTTTCTTACAAGACTCTATGCTGCTCTAGCTGCTTATACCAAATACAAGTGAATCAGCAAAAACTCCAACAGGTAAAACCTACACCTATATAGAAAAATCTGTTTCAGACACCTCCATCTAATCATCAAATTGTTGAGATGGAAGGGAAGTCTTGAGCTTGTCTAGTCCAACCCCCTGCTTAAATTAAGCAGGGCCAAGTAGCACAGTTTGCTCAATGCTCTGTCCACTTTGGATTTGACTGTCTCCAAGGACAGGAGACTCTTCAGGCAACCCAGCTGTCACGGCTTGATAGTGGCCCTACACCAGGCACCACGAGAGTCACAGGCTCACCCTACCCTGCCACAGCTGGGCAAAGGAAGGAAAAGGAAAAAAAGTTAACAAAGGTTTCATGAGTGAGATAAGGACCAGGAGAAGCATTTCAAGGGCAAAACACGCTCAAAGTGAATTAGTTGCAAAGTGAAATGTATTACTAACATAATCAGAGAAGGATAATGAGAAGTAAAATAAGCCCTTAAAATACCTTCTCCTCCCCAGCCCCTCCCTCCTTCCCACTCACAGCACAGAGAGACAGCATGGGGGTTTTGGTCAGCCCCTCACCAAGATTTTCTTCCACTGCTCAGGGAGAGGAGTCCTTCTCCTGTGAGGCTGTGGGATCCCTCCCATGGAAGACAGATCTCCATGAGCTTCTCCAGAGTGGCTCACTCCCACAAGCAGCAGCCAAACCACACCTGCTGCAACATGAATTCCCCCACGGGCAGTGACATCTCTCTTTCCATGGGGTATGGTCCTCCAAGGATGGGCAGCTCCAGCCTGCAAGCAGGGCCCTTTCTCTCCACCAGGTCTTCCACTGGATCACAGCCTCCTCCAGGCATCCACCCACTCCGGCATGGGCACCTCCTACAGGGGCTGTGGGTGGATCTCTGCCTCCCCTGTGGATCTCCATGGGCTGCAGGGGCACAGCTGCTTCACCAAGGCCTGCAGAGGAATCCTGGCTCTGGCACCTGAGCACATCCTTCCCCTCCTTCTCCACTCACCTTGGTCTCTCCATGTTGTTCCCCCTCACATAATCTCACCTCCTCCTCTTCTCTGTCTAGGAGCAAAAAAACCCTGTGACCTTGGTTTGATTTTCTTCTTAAATGGGTGATCACAGAGGCATTACCAGCCTCTCATGGGCCCAGTTTTGGCCAGCAGCATGTCCATCTTCTGGGCCATCAGCCATTGGCTCTGCTGACACGGTGGGAAGCTTCCAGCAGCTTCTCACACGAGATATCTCAGTGGTCCCCCGCTATACACAAGCAGGCAGTGCCAAACCAATACACTACCTACCATGTAGGTACTGCAGTGAAAAGCAGCTCAGTTAGTTTGGCAATTTTTTAAAATGAGGCCACCATGGAACTTATTAAATGCTCAATGCAAAACCTAAAGCTAACCTATCATCTATCAGCTCGTTTAAATGGGCAAAGAATGAATATGGCTTTGAACAGTTTATACCACCAGATGTACAATTCAGAACCATTAGATGCACACACAGTACAAAACCAATGAGCACAAATGTCATCGTGCATTTATTCCAATTGAAAACATTGCTCCAGCTCAGTTCAGGATGAGTTACAACCTATTGCAAGAGCTTAGAAACACATTTTCAGACATCCTAAAAATGTCAAGAGAACTGTTGCAGCATTTTCTCCAATGGTGAGAAGTGTTTCAAATACAGGGATCCATTCAGAACCAGATTCTCTTCCAGGTGCCCCACCTATGGAGAAGCCAGCATGCAAGTCTGTTGAAAAATACCAGCTGAATTAGTGTACTGAGGTCAGTCTTTAGCTGCTTAACCTGGACTGAAATCTGAAAAGGCTTTTCCAAGCCAGCCTGACTTTGCCAAACCAGCAGCTGCTTTACTGCTTCTTCATAGTGACAACGATTGTGAGAAAATAAACAGATCCTATTTTATATAGGCTTCATATTCCAAGAAACAAAGTTCTAAGTGATAGCTGGACCTCCAGAGGTCCTGCTCAACCCAAACTGTTCCATGAAGAGAAAAATTAGATAGAGATCTTTCTTACATAAGAACATGGAATGACCTCCTGAGCAGGGGAACACACCTGCTCTAGCAGCAGAATCATTCCAATTAGGACACACAGACAGGTTCCCTAACATAACAAAACTAATGGAATGCTGCATCAGCACCGTCATTTAGGAATTCAACATTTATTCTTATCCTTCCTGAATTATAAATTTGAAATGCAATTACTGTAACAATCATTTCATTGTACAAAACATCACCTTTTGGCTGACCTCAAGTTGAGCAATCAAATGTTTTGGATGATAAAGGCAAATAAACAGCCAAATTGAGAAACAGGATCTTTGTGCTCTTCAACTGTGACAAATGTTGCCAAATGCTAACCAGAAGCCTCATGTAACTACAAGTAGCCAGGCTCTGAGGTTTTTAAGAGCCACCATGGATTCTTTGAACACCTGAGTAAAAGAGACTGAATGCACACTCAACACAAACACCTTTGCATGGAACACAGTAGCATTTCACTTTCTGTATGTTTGGATCACATGTACAGTTTTGCATTCCATTAAGTATACCAGAAGGGTTTCAAGCAAGCAAGGGTTTTCTCCTTGCTCACCAGACTTCATAAGTCACCCTAACCCTTGAAGCAGCATAATGCAGGAAATATATTCATAGGACTTCAAAATGAGAAAATGTGTTTTCATTAAGCCTTCCATCAGCTTTTCCTAGTAATTGTTTAAACCACAGGAATCAGTGGGCATAGAGGAAAAGGGTATGACACACAATTTTAAAACAGCTAACAGTCCTGGCTCCATTATTAGGACCTGGAAGAAGAGAATTAAAAATCAGTTGCTCCCTCCAGGCCACTCCCCCACCCCCAATAAAAGTGATTTAGACAAGGAATGGAGGGGGAAAAAAAACAAGTGAGAAGGAAAAAAATCATATAGGGTGAATGAATACCTTTCTCCACAACTCTAACTCGGATTTCTCCTGGTTTGACAACAATGTCAGGTGGGTTCTTGACATCACAAATATACGTGCCGTTGTCCCGGAACTGCATGTTTGATATTGTGATAGAAGCATCTTTCTTGTTAAGATCTCCAGCCCAAGTGATCCTGTCTTTAAATGGTATGTCTTTTCCAGGGTATGACTTCCCATTAGAGTAATAGAAAAACTGCAGTCAAGGAAAAGAGGATACAAGAACAACCCAATTAGCAAGAACAGAGCCACTGTGCATCTCCCACTATTCCAGCACTCTCCCAGAGCCAGCTGTGTTACTAAACCTCAGCCAGTAGCTGAGGGTTTTCTCCTCCTGCCTCAGCACTTCTGTGGTCTATCAAGTCTGCCTTGTTGCCTTTTGATAACATAACCACATTTGTACCTCAATCACACCAGAACAAGAGACTGCAAGTTTCAGTTTTCTGCTGGTTTTGATTTGTTTTGTGGTTGGATTGGCTGGGGCTTTTTTCTGTTTTGCAGGGAACAGAGTTGTGCAGACAAGGAGGTGGGGGAAAGAAAACAACCTGGTAACCTGATAATAATTAAAGGACAGAACACTCCTGGAACACAGCCATCTGTCTTTCAGGCACAGGAAGCTGCCTGCATCCTAGCAGAAAAAGGATACCAAGTTTCCCATCTTGTGTTTTGCTGCGTGTTACTTGCAACTAAAGCACAGCTAAATTAACATGCAATACTCTCCCTTCCTTCCACCCCCTCAGAAAATCCCATGACCAATTTAGAGTATATCTAGCTGTTTTCCAGAAACCTTCAGGTAACTAAATATAACTGTTTCCCAGTTTTTAAGTGACTAAGCTGCACATTGGCTCTGCAGTCCCTATACATGACCAAAAATCTTGGAAGAATAAACTTCCTTAGTACAGGCTAAGGAGGAACTGAGTATTTCCTGACCATACCTGCCCAAAATTGGAATTTACAGCAGTAGAAGTGCATAGACTTCTACAGGACAACTCTGCCTTCAAACATATGGGATACCCTAAGAGAGGCATCAAGGCTGCAGGAGAATTGCAAGAGCACATTCTTTCTTAATTGGTGTTCTGCAGGACAGCAAGATAAATCTAATCAGGAATCAAGCTGAATTACCTTCAGTTCAGTCTCCAGAAAATAATGAAAGAAATTCAGGACAATATTCCAGCTTCCTCTTCCTCCTGCCTTATTTACAAAGCAGTGGCTCTGCCACAGAACAGCCTGCCTACTGCCCCGTATTTCCATTCAAGTCACCTCCTATCCTTTTTCCTGCCCTTGATCTCAGGTTTGCTATTCCAACACCCTCTCTATCAGACCTGCAGTCTGAATATCAGGCCTTATCACTTGGCAGCACAAATCTTGTCCAGATCAGGTATGTGCACATCATGGCCATCTGTCCTACTTGCAGTCAATCTTATTTGTTGTCTACAGATTAACATAAATTCAATGAAGTATTTCATGTGGTGGAAAGCTGGCAAGCACACAGCCAGCTGTCAACATTTTGGAGGGACCCTGCATCAGTCTGCAGATTTTCCAGCTGGATTGTAACCTTTAACACAGCAGCACTGCATTACCACACCCCTGTGCACAGGGGAAGCCATCCCACTGAAATCTAGAATGCCAAAAGCAGATTCCTCTGCTCTCTAGATCTCCTGACCTGTCCTGGGGGAGGAGAAATCACAAAGTAAAACATGTCCTGAAACACAAGTGAAGTGCCTGAAGCCATCCCTTGCCTGTGGTGGAGTGAGATGACACTCTGGAACATGTGGTGAGGGAAGGGGACAAGCAGGGGAAGCTCCCAGTCGAGGCAGCTTCACCACATGGCCACAAGATTGCCAGTGGGATTCTAAAGGGATACAGACCACCCTTGTAAAGAGAAGCATGGCCTTACCTCAGACATAAGCTGAGCATGAGATTGGTCTTTCAAACTCACACCCACCAAGCTATGCAATGCCATGACTCAGGCTCATAAACAAACATCCCCTCTACACTTCCCCAGACCCTCAAAAGAAACAGGGAATTGACATCAAATTATGCTGGGCCCCTGCTGCTCAAAGAAAATTTGCTTTTCTTTCAGTTGTGGTGATGGCTACATCCAGGTGGAACACCAGAACTGACTTCAATTCCAAAAACAATGTTATGTGCTGAAGCTGTATTCCTGCAAGTGAGCAGTGATGCAGAAAGGGAATGGCAAAACAGGATATATGGGGAGCGGAAATGCACCAACAGATGGCTTCTCTTCACCCATCCTGCTCAGCACTGGCAGGAAATGTGCCCCACTTCCCTTACTTCTCCCCAACTCCTGCTTTGGGGTTGGGAAGAGCTCCCTCTTCAAAACTAAATATTTATTTCACTGAGAAGTCAGAAGCTTGTCCTTCAGAACTCCGTACACCGAGCAAGATGCTCACACACTGGTTTTGACCAACTCTGAGCATTGAAGAGCTCCTAGAGTTTACATGAGCTCATGTCTGTAGCAGAGGGAGGGAGACAAACACAAACAGGCTGAGCAACCTGCTGTCCCCACATCTTCAAAGGTGCCCCAGAGTTCCTTGTTCTGCTTCCTCTAAATTCTCTTTTAGTACAAGGAACAAGAAAGAAGCAGAAGTGTCTGAGGAAGAAGAGGAAGAAGACAGCTATCAACCTACCAAAGACATTTCTTTGAACACTTACATCCAAAGGATATGAGCCCCCTTGGGCCCAATATACAGGAACTGAGCCATGACAAATATTATTTGCCTGAGTTCCTTGCTAGCCTGATTTTTCATTTGTCAAGTAACTATAATATGAGGATATAACTGCTTCCTGATTTGAGCTATTCAATTCTGTTCTGAAACCAGGGAGGACTGGTCTTACTTTAAACCCTCTCAAACAGAGGCTATACAGTACACAAGCAAAACAAACAATACACAATGTAGGACTGCAATTACAGTGGTAATTCAAATTCTCTGACTGCTATGTTCAGCCAAATGCAAACGGACAGAGGATTTACAAGATTGCTAGATGCTCATCTACTTCATAACGTACAGCTTCCATGCCAACATCCCTCTTTTAAGAATAACAGAGTAACTAGAATATTTTGTGGTCACTGCCCACGGCAGTCTTGGCAGAGATCTAGCAATATTTTCATACAGCACTATAAAAGCCCCCTAAAATCACAGCGATGGAGATCGGGCACACGAAGGAGGGTCCAATCCATATCTGCTTGCTCCTTAGCACCAACCAGAAGACCACAGGTCAGCTATTCCAGCCTCCCCTCCCAGGTGTGCTCCCCTCCAGCCATTGCTTACTGAGATACGAGTGGCTGCTCCCTCTGGCTGGAAGCTCCAGGACACAGATGCTGCACTGCTGATCACTTCTACAGATGTGAACGTGCACGGGAGCTTCGCGTCCGTCCCATTCTCCACAAACATCTCCTCCGGGGTGTTCACCTCTACTGCTGACACTTGCACTGCATGGCAAAGGCAAAGGGAAGAAAGGAGGAGAACAAGACACATCAGTGCTGCTTTGAGAATGAGCAAGTTCACATCACACTGCCTACAGGGGCAGGAGACAAGAGGCATCAGTAACTCCTGCATCGGGTGATTGCACAGACATTGCATTATACCTGCAATCAAACAAGTACAGAGCAGGCCAAGCATATTCACTTCTCCTTCCTTGTATTATCTGTGACAGGATGTTTCCACTCACAGATGTTTCCTCTACAACACTTTGTGGAAGTCAATTCTATGGTGCAAAGGATGAGTTTAATGCTTTTTCGTACCAGCTGACAGCAGGCATTGTAATAATTAAGCCTCATCAGAGGAACTAACAGCCTGGCCCAGCTATTACTCAGTTTCCTCTCTGGCACACATCTTGTTTCACATCTCCAGATTTTCCTAGCTGTAGGTAAAACAAAGGCTCACCTCCAGCAAGCTGAGGAGCAAACCTCTCTCACTTACAGCTATGCCTCTACTCCTGCTCTCTGCCATGCTCCCAGGTCTGCATGTGCAAGGCCTCACAAATAATCTGTTATAGTTCAGAAGCATGAGAGTAGTTTAATTTTTTTCTACCTTCTGCACAGTGAAAACAGCAAGCAGACCACAAACAGCCCCCAGATTTAAAGTAATCAATGTTGATATTGTGCTTGTACTGGTAGTTTTCCTAACAAGTCATATTCATGATGATTTGGAAAACCAAATCATTGAATCGTTGAAGATATGCTTTATCTAGCACCTTCTAAACTGCCAATGCACTACCCCTATCTAGATTTAAGCAGATACATCTCTACATTCACTCAGATTTATGTAGAAAAACAAAGCATGATCTTGTGACATCACAAGAGAATGTCAGTGCTCATGTCACATCCACGTGAAAACAAAAATCATGTCAGGTCACTGCAGGTGGGTGCACATGTAATGTGTGTTCCTGGTACCTCAAATATAAGTTTTGATTTTTATTAAACTATGATTTTCAGCACAGAGATGGTAACAGCAATCTACTTCTGTTCATAGGAGTCTATGTTTCTGGGCTGCAGCACCTTAAATCTCCTTGTTAGAACAGCAGAACAAACAGAACAAATCTTCCTCCATCAGTACCTCAGCTGATTTGCTTCTCAGTTTTGAAAAAAGTAGCTCATAGTAGGCAGACCAAACAGAAAAATGCAAGTTGAAGACTGTTTAGATAAAATAAAGAAAATCCCACCTGTTGTACTTTGGGCCTGATTAGCATAAAAGATTTGATAATCAAGATGCCTTGGCAAGAACAAACAGAGCTTTGAAGACTACCAGAAGATTGAATCAAGACTGGCTGGCAGGAAGATTGAATCAACTTCTGCAAGCAAGAGATGCTGCAAGATGCATAAGTTTATTTATGGGATGACTAACCCAATCATTGTAGTAAAAAATTACTAGCCTTCCTAGACAGCATATAAGCATATGTAGTCCACAATAAATTTGGATTCTGATCACTACTCAGTCCCCTGTCTCTCATGATCACCAATACTCACCTACCTTAGTCCTTAAATCATGAAGTTTGAGTTTTTAGTCAGTGAGAGCAACCAGCTCTGCAGCCCTCAGAAGTTGGACAGCAAACACCTGGCATGCAAGCAGGGGTGGGAGGAGCACACCACAGTAATTGCAATAACCAAAACCAGAAGAAACCACCATTCATTAATTCTGCTGCTCAAATCCCACACCGTTCACCTCCAAAATTCACTAACTTCTGTCCCATCAGGTTATCTCTTGATATCTCAAGATTCTCCCCTCATCACTGCTCTCATTTCCAAGAGAAAAGGCACCCCAAAGGGGGTGGGGAGTAGGGATGGTGAATTTTCCTCATGAGGTTTTTTCAGAGCTTCCTTTCTCTTGTACACACTCTGACTATGGGCCAAAAAATATTCTCTTGTAAAACAACTACCAAACATTTATTTGGAACATACAAAGACTTCTAGCAATCAAATTAAATGAACTGAGAGCTGCTGTGCTTTATGTATTTTTTTCCAGCTAATGGTGTAGAAAAGAAAAATAAAATAAAATCCATTGTAGTAAGTCCAAACCACAGAACAAACCTCTCTTTCAACCATAAAATAAGCAAGATGCCCTCAGTATTCGTGTAGGAAGAAAAGAGCCTGCACAGACATTGTCTGCTTGTACATGGTACAGAGAACTCCTTGCCACACACAGGCAGTGGGTAGCACAGATCTGCCTAATCTAAAGAAGTCACTGTTCTCACTAGAACTGTAGTGAAGAAAAAAAAAAAAAAAAAAAAAAAGGACTTCTCCCTACTGCATCCCTAGTCTGGGAAGGAAGGAAGGAAGGAAGGAACTATGTAATCCTGTACAGAAATTTCTATCAAGTTATCAAGTTTAATTTTCATCTGTCCTATTGCTGGCTCAATTTCATGTTCTTCTTTGTTGATTTCTCCCCTCTGCCTCTTTCACCGCTTCAAAAATTGTTTTCCTGCTTCTGTTGCCTTACAGCATCAGACACAGGCTCCTTAAATTACAACCTGACTATTTGGCAGAGAGACCCCAAGATTTATCAGTTGTTCACCCTCAGCCCTCTGATCCCATACTTTTACTGATATGGTGGCTGTTCCCACTGCCTTGAACTCTTTGGCCTCCTCTGTCATAATAAAATCCACATGGATCATCTCCAGCTCTAGCTCTTTTCCTCCTCTTTCCACATTTACCAGGATTACATCCAGGATTACAGCTCCTACACCTATAGAAATATTCCAGTTGAAGAAAGTTGGATTTTGAGTCATATTTCAGTCACACTTAGCTACTGCTCTATTCCTCAAGCTTACTCAGCCTTAGTTCCTCTGAAGAGGAAAAAACGATCACAGGAAACTTTGAGAGAGAAGAATGCTTTAGGAAGGGAAGGTCAGCAAGGTACATAGGGCAAAAATAAATATTTGCTCTTCTCCCATCCATCTGCCTTGATCCCATCACCCTGTCCAACTGCCCATAGCTCCACTATTTCCTTCTGAACATCTCATTTAGCCTTCAGCTGCTTTTATTCTTTTCAGCAGAAAAATGGTTCTCATTTTCTCACCTACCATCAAAATAATTTGAAAAAAAACACCTCTGCCTCTTCAGCCATTTCTTTTAAATCTCCAGTGTTGTTCAAGCAGTTTTACTCCAAGTATAATAACTTTCTCCAGCTCCATTTTCAATCCCCACACTGCAATTAAAACTTTCCATCCACATCTTCCTTTCCAGACAATCCTCCTGCTCTTGAAATAGGATAAGACACTCATATTCTTACTAACTTAATGATCTTTTCTTATTTTTCCATCACAGATCTTCATTCTTCACCAATGCTCTCTCTACTCTCAGGTCTCTCTTTCCTCAGAGATCTCATCTGCACAACAAGTTCAAGCTCCCATCCCTGCAGTGACTGCTCAGATCTGTGTCTCTGCTCAGGATCCATCTCCTCATGCTCTAAGAGCAGCCTCAGTCTGACATCTTTGTCAATGCTAAGTTGTCAGCTCACACTAAAGGGGACTAAAGCAGAGCTCAGAGCCCTCCATGACTGCTTTTAGCACCATGGACCTGCCATGTGTCTCTCCAATTCCACACCTGTGCAGCACCTCTGACTTTGAACTCTTCCCAGCTCAACGCAGAGTCTGTCAGAGTTTCCAGTCACCTGTTCAGCTGACACCAGACTAAAACCTCCAGTTTGTACCTTGGCCTTCATTATTGTGATGTCCTTTTTGCTCTGGACAGATGGACAGTTATTGGTCATGATGACAAAGACCGACTGGTGATCAAAATCCAAATTTACTGTGGACTACATATGCTTACATACTATGCTAGAAAGCCTACTAATGATTTACTACAATGATTGGGTTGACCATCACATAAACAAACTTATACATTTTGCAACATCTCTTGCTTGCAGAGGTTGATTCAATCTTCTTTCCTGTCAGCCAGTCTTGATGCAGTCTTCAAAGTTCTGTTTGTTCTTACCAAGGCATTCTGATGATCAGATCTCTTATGCTAATCAGATCCAAAATACTCTGTCCTGGGTGCCCCAACAGAGCAGTAAGTGCTGCAGTTCCTGGTAACCAAGCTGCTCCAAGGGTGACATCACACATTCAAGATCACTGCTAGTGGGAATGACACCAAGCACCCATCCCTGTTTCAGTATGAACAGACTCTTGTTCCCAACCACATCATATTATTGGTCTCATCCAAAACTTTTCAAATCCAAACTGTGGCACCTTCTGCTAAATGCTGTCCCTCAGGCTTGGGAGGTTCTGCTCAAAAGCTGCAAAATCCTTTCACTTCCTTTGAGCCCCCCAAAGCAAGTGGTAACTGCATCTGTATGAATCCAACAGTGCCTAAGCTGCCAGTGCTTGGAGATCAACATCTTTTAAAATTGAGCTAATCTTTTCCTACTTTTACTTGTACTCCCTGGTTGTTTAATCCCTCAGTGATTTTTTAAAAAATATTTTGGGCAAAAATTGTTTTTATTCTACATTTTTATGTAGAAATATGGTTGACCATTTGGTTTGGTAGCATATAACAAAGAAATTCTTCTGTGCACCAAAGTTTTACACTAATTTGCACGTAGATAATTAAAACTTCTTTGCAAACCACTGTTTCTACTGAGATCGTGGATCTAATGAAAACATTCTCTTAATTAATACTCTGAACACACCACAATAAGCTCAATTCCCCTGCATTCAACTCAATTTGATCAGTAAGAGACCTAACAAACTAAGAACACAAACAGCTAACATTGTCATTACAGGCATGTTATTTCCATCAGCACAAACACAGCTCGCATGGAAACTTTCCTCACACTGCTAAATACAGGATGCTTATGGCTGCTACCATTCCCATTCCTACTCCAGGAAGAGTGTTACTCCCCTCTTTTTGAAATGGCCAATCATCAGTTTATTAATTAATACAAGCAACTTGCTTTTCTTATCTTAAAGACACCTGGTAGTACAGCCATGTAC